CTCTTCGTTAATGTTGTCGTGACTTCTTCGTTAATGTTGTCGTGACTTCATTCTTCCTCTTTGAAGTTATCGAAATATTCTGTTATTTTTTCCTTCAGTAATGTTAAGTCTTCTTTGAAGGTAAGTATTGTGCAACCTTTGATGTCATAGTGTGTTTGAGGAAGAGTATTTTTGACAATTTCTTTTATTTGCTCATTCGGTGTCATTGAAATCGGTAAGTTTTCACGATAGAACCAGTTTCTGTCAGATTTATATATTTTAGCAAGGTCGTAAAAGCTTTTGTTGTTTCTTCTGACTAAATGCAACATAACCATATCTCTATCTTCTTCTTTCTCCAACTCTTCAGTATAAATCATATACTTATAACTCTTTTCCTTTCCTTTTGGTACTGAACGTGGTATTCTTTTCTGTATGCTTTTGTCTTTGGATTCAATGACTTCATTTTTGCTTGAAGTTTCTTTTCCATCTCTCCACGTTCTGCTTTATATAGTTCATCTAACATCATGAAAATATAACAAGCATAACGAGGTGAAGCCCACATTGCTACAGCATTTACTAAAAGTCTATGAACATAATAACCTTTCAAACCAGGTGCCAAATTCTTGCGATTTTCGTACGGAATCTCTTCCCTCGGTTTTCCGAGGGAAGCAATCATATGAGGAAATTCTTCTAAAAGTTCTTTTGCCTGTTGGTTTTCAAACCAATGATATGCTTGCTTTGTAGAACGAAGAGCGTTCATTATACTTTGCATTTGATACATATCATCTTTGACTGAACGAATGAGTCTCAATTGTTTGTTATATTGTATGTATTCGTATTCTTCATTTATGGCTTCATGAACGATAGCAGTTGTTGTGTTCTCTAATGTTGACATTACTGTTCTTACATACAGGATAAAAAAATAAATAAAATAAAAACTAACTTTATTTTTTCTGAGATAAACACTATTTCTTCACAACATTAAATTTTATCCTGTATGAAATGACTTTAAAAAGATTATTGACTGACTTCGAATACTATCTCATTGACGCACTGACAGACCCTCAAAACTGTGTTGAAAGTTCTTTAAGCTTTAAGATTGAAGGTACGACGCATTTTGTCTTCACTTACGTATTGAAAGAATATGACCGTTATCATAACGAAGTGAATCAAACACTAATAAAAATTTGTAGATAAAAAATTGGTTAACAATGAATATTTTAAACGTGAAGACCCAAACACTGCTGGAGAATGATGAAGAATACAGACAAGCTATTGAAAAAAATAACGCAAGATTAGATGCAATAGAAAAGAAGTTTAATGAATGTCTTACAAACACGTATGAATATCTTATGCGGTGGGAAGCCAGATGGAAATAAATTTACGTCAAATATGCAATTTATAAAATCTTATGTCGACAGGCTACGTAGCACAGTGGTCTAAGGTGGTGTTATGGAGGGGTCAAGGTCTGTGGTTCGAACCGCGACAGCGCCGTATTTTCTTATTTTCTTTATTTGTCTTGTTTGTCGTGAATAAAAAGTGTCATAAAAGTGCTCTATCTTCCACGGGAATAAATAAAAAATTTACTTTATTTCTTCTTTATTTCTTTGTTCCCGTGGAAGAAGGGTTTTGCTGTTTTTTCTCAGCCAAAATCAATGATTTTTTCATTTTTGGAATCCTTAGCGAATGAGGAATCTTTTCTCTCGTGAAGCTTTGACCTAAAATATAATTTAGGTGAAGAGGTGAGATGTCACCTGTTTTCTCACCTCTTTTTTCACCCTCGTGACTTTGTCATAACTTCTTCGTAAATGCTTTGTCATAACTTCTTCGTAATGAGTGTAAATGACCAAAAATATATTATAGGTGAAGAGGTGAGATGTCACCTCTTTTTTCACCTAATTTCTCACCCTCAGCCGCTAAGCGGCGAGACCCAAAGGGTCTTGAATTTTCATGAATTTCCTTAAGATAGAAAAATAACGTTAGTTTTATTTTTATTTATTTTTTTATTTTGTATGTAAAGATATGATTTCAACAATCGGCACAACAACAATTCAAGCCGCGAACGGCGGACTCTGTCCACAACAACTTCACCAAACTCGTTAGTCATGAATCCAACATCTATGTTAGTAGAGATGAAAAGCTTCATTCCTTCTTCATATACTTCGAAACAAAAATCCAGAAGATAAAGCAAGAACTTTTAACAAGTAATTTAGACTGTAGTGCGAAAGATGAAACAAATGAACAGTATCTTTATGAAATGCAGGACATTATTGACCATTTACCTAAACTACCTGAAATTCAGCATCAAAAACTAACTATTCCTGAATTCGATGAAATAGAAGTGAAACCAACTGACTCAGTAGAAAATAAAGAAGTTCATTCGAAAGGTAAACTATGAGTTTCTAGATTTCATTGCAACCATAAGGTTATGGACAAAGATTGCGACATGGTATATAAGAATGTTTCTGACATATATAAATCCGGGGAGTTTAAGACCTACGATAACTTTGTTTCGTTAGTTGCTGAATGTGTATGGCAGATAAGAGATAAAGAAGAGAGTAAAATATGGAACGAACAGATAAGACCAACTGCTTTTGAGTTAAAGAAAACCATTGACGCCTTAGTTGTTTTAGCAGGTAAGGTTTCAGAATATAACGCAAAAATGAATCCGCAATGTTCTAAATGTAAAGCAGCAATTAGGAATATAACTATCCGTCAAAGAGATAGAAAGAATGCGAAACGACTATGCAGACTTAAAGAAAGAAGCAGAAAAGCCAGCAGAAGATAAAATGAACATGTTAGAATTTCTGAACAAAAACTATCCAACAGCAGAAGATTTCCTTCTATCTGACGTCAAGAAGAAGTATAAAGAAACCTTCGGTATTGTTAAAACTTTTGACATACTGACAGAAGAAATAGAAGCTACGAAATTGTTTAGGATTTCAAATATACATCGTACAATTCATGTAAAACGCTTGTGAAAAACTGGGGTGAGAAAACAGGTGAGAAAACGGGTGACATCTCACCTCTTCACCTAAACATTATTTTTATTGAATTCAATAAAAATAAATGGTTCATTTACTCACAATATTTTTGTACAAAACGACCCCAAACTTTTAACTTCTTTTCTGCAGCTTCAAATGCTATCTTAGCGAGTTCATATTCTCTAAATTCTCTTTAAATCTTCTTGTTCCCATTGGTCTAGTTCGTATGGAGAATCTCTATAACCATAATATATCTCACGTTCATGTTCTAATTGTTTTTCGCACATTTTTCCAACTTCTTCTTCGAACAAAGGTTTAGCATTCTCCACTGTATCTTCGAGTTCTTCTTCATCTAACTTCTCATGAACTTTCTTGTCTATGGAGTCCATAATATCTTTGACATAAAATGCATACTTTACAGAGCACCATTCAGCAACAAAATGAACGAGGTCAGCATGTATGTAAATACCTTTGAATTCATTCATAACGCCCTTAGTAAGCTCATAAAATGCTTGTTTTGAGGTCGAGCCACTTTTGGCTCCACCGTATTCGTTCATCCAAAACTCAAGAATTTCCTGCATTTTAGTACTATTGAGAAATCTGTTTAAATGGTTTAACCTTCCCGCTTCTCTTGCCATCTTTGTTGCATTAATGTAACCATCCTTGTCTCTACGTAAGACTTCAATACCGTTATAAGTGCCTTTTGTGAATGTTTCACCATTAGATTTGTTAGTGAATGTTTTTGCTTCGACTGACATTATTGTCTTTACATACAAAATAAAAAAATAAATAAAAATAAAATTAGCGTTATTTTTTATTTCATAAGGAAATACATGAAAATTCATGAGGTGAAAAAAGAGGTGAAAAAACAGGTGAAATCTCACCTCTTCACCTATAATATATTTTGTCTGATTTACATCCAACGAAAAAGTTTAGAAGAATTTTCTTATTCTTTCTGGCATGTTTTTATCTTTCCAGTACTCCCGCTCTAATGGTCCCAGATGAGTTGGTTTAGATTCTCTCAAGTTCTTAGATGGTATAACATCTTCAACGCCTCCTTCATATCTTACTTTATAAGTGTCATCGTTTGTGTTGTAGTCAAGTATTTCAATAACCACTCCTCGCTTTGCTTCGTCAATGGTTTCAGCAAGTTTGCCATTACTACTTTCGACTAATTTATGTCGAGGGTAAAATGCTATGGAGTCGTCAGCAGCTTTTATAAGATATCCATTACCTTGCGTAGAGTCTACGATATAATAATTTCGACTTAACCTTAAACGTTTCTTTGTCAATGGTTTGTCGTCAAGAACTACACGAACTTTTGTACCAGGAATGAGGGTAAATTGTGTTGAATTTCTGATATTTTGTGTTTGACTTAGTTTCTTTTGTATATACTTTTCTTCTTGTTGTTGTGTCATTGAATTTGGTGTATGTCCTGTTGTAGAATGTGTTGAGGAATTATATACTTCGAGAAAATGTTTCATTGTTTCTTCGGTAAAGTCTCGCTCTTGATTTAAATCTCTGAGAGTCCTTATGAAGCGGTTAATGATACCGAGTATGTTATGGTTATGGTCTTCAGTAGTGTAGTGAGTTATGTTATGCTTAATGAGAAAATCTGTGATTTCATTGCTGAGGTATGCACTGTCTTGGTCTGATGTTAAAGTACTTGGGCTATGTTCTGCTACAAACTTTTGTAAAACTCTTAACACTTCACGAGTTCCTTTATTCCTCATTGGATATGCATATACTTTACGAGTGTTAACATTTATGAAGATGAGGAATGGTTTATGTCTTCCTTTTCTGCTTTGAATGAGAGTGTCAAATTGGTATGCGTCAGGAGTGTTGGAGTAAATTGGTAAAAAGTAGTCGTAAGGGTTTATTTTTGTTTGATGTACAACATTTTTGTCAAAGAACCTTTTCACTTCAGCTCTGTTAGTAAATCCCGAACTCTTTGCAGCTTCATTGAATTTCTTAAAAGACCTCCATGGATGTTGTTCGAATACTTCTTTCAAGCTCATTTATGTAAAGTTAAAGATTTTAACCAACTCGTATCCAAGCGTGCATTGTTATATAAGGAGGCATATAATCTTTTCCATTACCTGCTGGGTCTGTAATACCAGCTACAACATGTGTATGATTTCCTGCAGTTCCACAGAAAATACCTGTGCTAACATCTTTGGGGTCAGTTGTGATATCATATCTATGCATTCCCTGTCTATCCGAACCCGCTGCAAGATTTGTATAACCTCTTTTTGTTATTGAATGTGAATGGTTTCCTTCCACAGATGTTCTTCCACTGAACCTATGCATATGTGAAGGAAGGTTTTCAATACCTATTTTCTTTGAACCTCCCATCTTCATTGACTGCGTATTAGTGTAGAATGGAAAACTGTCAACTATTTCATACCATCTACCACCAAATAAAGTGTTTGGATTTATTGGATTCATAGACGTATAAACAGCTCCTATAGGATATATTAAATCATATATGCTCATAACTCTATAAACATATTCTAAAGAACTTATGTCATTAAATACCATTTGGAATGTATCTCCCGGATGAAATGTTGCATTTGTTCCACTTTTATAATGTAATGTTAGTTCAATAGAATTATCCAAGAAAAATTCAAAAGTATCTGGTTGAAGACCTCTAACAAATTCAAATGGAGTTGATGGTTCACCATTTATAATTTCTGTTGTAAATGTCATTGTATCTGGTTTCGAAAATTTCTTTGTTAGTTCTGTATCCACATAAGTTTTGTCGGCTTTACTGTCTAACATTGCTGGTAGTTCATGTGTTTCAAAGTTTCTGACATGACCTTCGATATTCATACATTTGTTATTTAAGGAGTTTAGTGTATCTTTTACGCTTGTACTTGGATTCTCTAAAGGTGCACTTGAACCAAGGGTATAGTTCAATATTATGTCGTCTGCTCTAACAGTAGTGAAGGATTTATGTGTATGTTTTGTCAGCTTTACTGTCTAAAGTAGCTTGAAGTTCATTTATATCGGAGATGTTGTGTTTATGAGATTTCAAAACTTTGTTCATTGCTTCGAGTTCAACTTTGTCAGCTTTACTTTTAATAGCATCTTCAAACGTTATTTTTGACTTAACTCTCAAAGTAAATCTTGGTTCAACTAATACACCGTTAACATTGAAAGTAGAGGCATAAATTTCATCGTTATAACCAAATGCTTCTGGTGCTTTAGCTACATCATACTGTACAGTACAGCTTATGTCATAACCTTTAGCACGAATGTATTTATATCTTCTTTCATTAACATTTTTTGTCTTCACTTCATCACTTCGTGTTAAATATCCATGGTAGTCCGTTATAATCTGTTCGTCTGAAGTTATATAATGAACATGGTTTTTATCTGCTTTTTCGGCTAATTTCTCATTAACATCATTCACTTCTAATTCAACTCTTCCGCCAGAACTCTTATTATCATTAATCTTTTTCATTAATTCGGTAATTACGTCATAAAGACTATATTCTGTTTTCGGTTTTGTAAATAATGAGTCAAAATTTCTTTTCATCATTACATCGCTGACATTAATGATATCACCAATTCCTTTTTCATTTATTCTCTTCATTAATTCTGCAATAATGACGAATATATAATCTGTTAATTTATTCTCTTCATCGAGGGTTATAGAATGTTTTGAAATTGAATCATTAACTCCTCTAAATAAATCAATAACTTCAGGATACACGTTTTTAATGTCTTGAATAACCCGACCAGTATCCTCGCCACTATGTGGCTCTGAGCCCGTTGGGCTCTGTTGTTCATGTTCTTCGTTCCCGTCGTTACGTGGTTTTATATCTCTAACCATCATCAACGCAGCCATAACCGGAGGGTTTGTTGCTACCTGTTCGAAAATCCGTCCGTTATGTATGGTATATCTAAATAATTTCTTTGTGTTTGTTAAAACATTTGAAACAAGTCTTTTAAAACCATCTACAAAATTTCCTGTTTCACCTAATGTTCTTGCAGCATTTACAAGCTCACCCATTCCCGCTTTTGACCCCAAAAACGTCCATATTGCATTTATTTCACTCTGTATGTTGTCCATTCAGCGAAACTAACACCCGCATTCGCTAAGCTGAAAATGAAACTCAGTGGATCGAACTTAATTCCACCTTCTTTTTCAATTTCAACGAACTCACTAACATGAGATTTTAAATATTCTTTCGTTAAAATTGTTTTCCCCGATGTTATGTCATTAACGAAACTATCACCGTCAAAAGTTAACGAATTCAATTTCGTCGTTGATGCTTTTATTTCATACACCGCTTTATCGATAGTTTTTGGCTCACCTTCTTTAGAAGCATATGAAACATTAATGAATGAATTATATGTATTCGTGAATGAGTTAAAATCAATGATTTTCATTAATGACGCCTTTAATGATTCATTAACTGTTGAATCCCTTAAAACAATTAATGAACTGTCCTTTATGAAAGGTACACTGCAAACCGTCGAGTTTGGATCAAATGCTGTAGTTGGTGCAGGAATATTAATGATATAAGTCATTAAATCATTAAGTGACGTAAATAATGTTGTCGTTTTTGATTTAATTTCTTTAGCATCTGTTATATATGGTAATTTTATTTCTGTAGTTTCTGAATTAAAGATATTCGCTAAAATGTTTTGTAAACTGTTTTGAACAGCAGTATAAACCGTTGAATCCGGAACTCTTACGATTTCACCATCCTTAATAAAAGGCATTGTACATGACGTAGTGCTTGGGTCAAATCTTTCGGGATTATAATTCAACATATATTCTAACGCTTCATGAACAGACTTATATACTGTTGTGTCGTTCTTCATGACAACTTCACCATTTACAATGAATGGCATTGTACATGGAGTTAAAATAGGGTCAAACTTTTCATAGTCCTTCCATGTTATGTATTTCTCGGTATTTCCATCAGAAATAACAATATATTTGTCAGTAAGTGTGAGAGAGTATTGACCAAAATATAAACGTTTAGCTCTGTCAGCTTCATACGCATATGCAGCAATACTCATATTTTAATGAGAATAAAATGTTGTTCTATTTGCAAAGTACAGACCCAAACGAATACGGGACAGTAAAGCTACAAACAAACTTAGGTCTACAGAATGAGCCACTTGCATTCAGAGTTGTTGACTTCAATACTATCGCTTCATTCGTTATAACAGATGAAACAGATTTCATGGAGCTTGAAATAGATGGAAAGAAGCATGAAATAAGATTTCACAATAATGTAGAATATAAGATGGAAACATTAGCTGGAGTGTTAAATGCGCTCATAAATACTACAATAAACAAGGAGAACGAAGAAAACTTAATGAATGTTAAACTTATTGCAGGAGTTTTGAAGTTCAGTTATGCGAAGGAGTTTAAGATAACACGAATGAGTCATAGAGTTCAATTGCTTCTGGGAGCATACCATATGACATTTCCTTTGAAAAGTGTTGACAAAACGATTGAGATGAAATCTGTTCCATACGTATGTTATGGTAATTGTTTATACGTTGAGTCAAAAATAGCTAATGTCACAGGTATTTCAGGAGTTAATAGTAAAGGTTCAGTAGAATATAAATCCTTCTGTTATGCAGTCAATTCAATGTTCATTCCAAACGTTCCTGTCATAGCAACTCATTTAGGTAAATGGGTTCGCATTAGTCCTCATAATTTGAAAGACATGCAATTCAGACTTGTTGACTTTCAGGCGAGCCTGTAGAACTGAAGGCACCAGTGCGAATGACTGTTGAAGTTGACTTTTTTAAAATATTAAATGCAACAGCTTACAAGAGAACTCAGAGCTAAAAATATAAAGTATGAATGTTATGTATTAGGTCATGAACTTTGGTTATTGCTGTTTGATGAAACAAATGAGTTAGTTATGTCAGTCAAGAGAACAGAAAAAAGGCGTCAAAGGCGCCGAGCGCAAAGCGCTATATTGTGTTAGTGAAAACTGCCCAAGTCAATAAGATTAGGTTTGCATTATGAAGATGAGTTCGATACTGTTGAAGAAGTTTTGGATAGATATTATAAGTTGCTTTAATTTACTAAAACAATTTCAAACATAATTTATATTCTGTTGAAAGTTTTGTATATTCATTCGAATATTTATACTTAAACTCAACTCCTGGAGTACCTGGTATTTCAATGATGCGGATGTTACCTATTTTCATGAATGGTGGCGTTTGACCACAGCATTCGATTTCAGGGTCGAGATAGTCAATGACACATTGTTTCCCTGTTATTCGTGATATAACATTTTCAAGGTCCTCCTTTGTTAGAATTATTTGGTTCTTACTTATAAGATTTATCAAAAGCTTCTTATCGTCTTTGAGTAAAATTGTTTGGTATAACTGAAGAAGGTAATGGTCTACGTTATCTGAAGGATTTGTTTGAACATTTATGTAAGGGTTGTCGTTGGCTTCTCTTGAAAGAATTTGGTCCAGTGGTGGATACTCTAACTTAACATCTGATGTAGCGTTAGCGTTTGAAGCTGTGTTTAAATTCACGGATTTCAGCTCTGGTTCTGGCTCTTTCAAACACTCCGAACTATAGTTCTTTATGACAATATTGTTTGTCGTTCGTGAGTCAACATTGATGTTGGTTCAATTGGAACATTAACGGCACCAGCTAAGATGGATTTGCTTCTCATTTCATATAGAATAAAAACCTTTTATATGTATGAAATGAACAATATACTCGACAAGGGTTTGAATGTAAAGCTAACGAATGAAAATATTGTTGAATTCACTGAGACAGGTGCAGTGTATAAAGATGTAGAACTACTGAACAAAAGAGCTAAGGGAAGAAGCAGGAACATGAACAAAGGGTGGAAGCCTATAAAAATTGTCAATGATGGCTCAGGAGGTTCAAACATAAAGTATGCAGAAATTATAGAGTTTATGCTCTCAAAGGTGAAAAGCCTTCATTTAAGAACAGCTATTCTAACGCATATCCTCAAAAGTTAACGGATGGGGAAGTGGAATATGAATGACAGCAAAAATATTAACAGAAATGGCGACAGAGATGCATGGAATTTGTTTACCATCAGTCAATTGAAGTTAAACTTAAAACAATGTTGGTCGTTCCATGGAATATTTTTGACTTTTAATGGTATTAGTCATGATATGAATCTCAAGGTATGAACGAGGAGAGATGAGAGACTTATATGCTTCCCAAATTTCTTCAAAAGGTAATGTTATACCTGACTGTTTCCAAATGAGTTCAATATCATAGCGTGAGAAACCTTGAAAGATAACGAAGTCAGTTATGAGACGTTTTATGTTAAAGCAAGAAAACGCCATGTTTGCATAAGTATTGCTACAGTTAAGTGGTAATGTCTGACTTTAGTAATGATGTTAGCTAATGGTGAGTCAGGCTTTGACACTAAACCTTTTCCGGCGAAGTCGTCGCAAACGAGCAGAGTATTTGAAGGATACTTTTTGAAGGGTATTTGAAAGTTTTGACAGAATGTAGTTTGTAAGTCGTTTCATATCGTAAACTCCTGAGTACTGACGTAAGTGGTGTTTGTCAATAATTCTTTCCATCTCCAGAAGTCTTTTGCATTCCTGACTGTATAAATTCAACGATGGCATAATATTTCCTCTTACGTCGAATGTAACGTTGAAGAAATTCAATGAGTTCGCTATCTGGAACTTTAACGACAGAGGCTTGAACTTTTGACATAAATGTTTTCGCTGTTGAGTCCATAGAGTCTGAAGTTGCTGATATAATGATTTGGTCATAATATGAATCTTGACCTAAACGCTCTGTTATGAGTATATGACGAATGAGTTAAATGTCTTACCTGACCCCA